ATTGGGCGGTATATAAATAAATTTTATTATTATTATTATTATTAAAACAGGGGGTCACTATTTTCTGGTTATTCAGTCTTCCACCTACCTACCTATTCAAGGGACCCTTCCCAGGGGAGCCACAGTTCCACCCACAGATCTCCACCTTCTCCCCGTCTCCGTCATCATTTCTTGGAGCCTTGGCATCCTGACTGTACCTTGCTCTCTTCCACAGTTCTAGGAAACCCTCCCTCCCCATACATACACATCTCCCTGGCCAGAGAACCCAGGCATCCTGGCACTCTGCTTTCTTCTCTTCCTGGCTTGGGTGGTGTTTATGAGCTAATCATGCACAGTCAGGGCCGTTAGCTGTTCCTGGCAGGTCTGAAGTTGCCGGTAAAGGCACCGGTTTCCTAGCAGTGATTAGGGGGAAGCGAGTGCGTGATGGAATGCTAAACAGCAATAACCACACACACACACACACACAAGGAGAAGCTCTCCTTAGGGTTTTGGGAAAAGTGTGACAGATCTGGCAAGATGCGGCGAAACTAGGAGGAAGTAACATGGAATGGAGGAGTGGAAAGCCCAACAAAGTCACCCACCCCACTTCCCTATTTGAACCCTTTCCCCCACACTAGTTCAAGGGAGTCATCCTTGGAACATGTGAAGCAATCACCAAAAGAAGAATGTCTCTGGACATGCACAGAATCCTATACTACTTGAGCAGCTGCCTCCCCTGCTCATCCAACACCCTTAAGATGTTTTGGACTACTAACACCACTGTCTCCAACCAAGACCATGCTGGAAGGGGATGATGTGTCTTGTACCCCAGTACACCTGCAGTATGCTTAGCTGGTGGAGACTGCATCCCTGATAAGAGACTACCAACCTATGAGTCTCATATATGATTTTGGTCCCAGTATATCTCATTTTATACATATAATCTTGTCTGGCTACATCTGCATTGCAGAAATAATACAGCTTGACACCGCTTTAACTGCCATGGTTCAGTACTATGGAATCCTGGGATTTATAGTTTGTTGTGGCACCAGAGCTAGACGTTCTCTACTAGAGGCTAAATATCCCACAAAACTACAAATCTCAAAATTCCATACCATTGAGCCACGGCAGTTAAAGTGATGTCAAACTGCATATTTCTGCAGTGCAGCTGCAACCTGAGGCTTTAATTTTGAGCTGGGTAGAATATATGAAATCAGGCCCAACCCACCCAGCCCCATCACACATAAGCTGTGTTTTCTGTGTCCTGGGAATATCTAAAATCACAGGAATGCATCTGAGGACATGCAAAGTGCTTTCTCTTAACCAAGGATGTAGGTAGGGAGACAATTTTCATTGTGTGGGTAGGGGAAAAGTGAGTATGTGTGGCCAGAACAGTTAGGGTAATTGATCACTGTAAAAGAGCTTTAAATGAAGGGAAAAAAATCACTTAGGGAGGCAGAATGATCAAAATTAAAGCTTCAGGCACTGCAGAAATATGCAGTTTGACATCACTTTAACTGCCATGTCTCAATAGGAAACAAATATGAGATAACATCCCCATTCCTTCCCCTATCACTATACCCCCTGTGCTTTACACTTGGAGCCAATCCACCCATCTTAGATTAAAATGTGGGACTTTTTCTTTTTAGATTTTATTTTGTAGAGAGGGTGCAGTATTTATCAAACTCTGAGATCACTTTTCCTCAAAGGAATTCAGGGCAGGGGCTATATGTAATTCCTCTCCCATTCATTTCATTGTCACAACAACCCTGTGAGGCAACTTCGGCTGAGAGAGTGTAACAGTGTCAAAACACACACAGTGAGCTTCACAATTGAATTGGGCCTTGAACCAGCATCTTTTTCTCTGTTTCTCTGTATCCATCAATTCTTCATCTATCAAGGAGCTGTATAGTCATTTTGCAGTTAATGCAGTATGCACAGTGCAGTTAATTTAGTTTGATTCCATTTTAACTGCCAGGGCTTCATTGTATGAAATCTTGTGATTTCTAGCTGCGCAAAATGTTTAGAGTTCTCTGATAGAGAACTTTATAGCTGTAGCTTGAGAAATGCACTAAACTACGGAATTCTGAGTACCTTGCAAAACTACATATCCCAGGATTCCACAGGATGGCAGTTAAAGTGGCAAGGGATTCTTATAATTGTGCAGTGTGAATAGTAAGAAACAAGTTTAAAAAGCAAGTACAATCTCAGCTACTTAGCCCCTCCTTTCTCCAACAGTTCAGAGGACATTAATATCATCCCATTCATCAACATATTGTACAGTCGTCCCTCTATATCCACAGATTCTGCATCTAGAGATTCAACTATTCACTGCTTGAAAATATATATTTTTTAAAAATCTAAAAAGCAAACCTTGGTTTTGCCATTTCCAACTTATGGCAGACTTAAGATGAACCTATAATGGGGTTTTCTTGGCAAGATTTGTTCAGAGGAGGTTTGCCATGGCCTTCCCCTGAGGATGAGAGCATGTGACCTGCCCAAGGTCACCCAGTGAGTTTACATGGCCAAGCCGGGATTTGAACCCTCATCTCCAGAGTTGTAGTCCAACACTCAAACCACTATGCCATGCTGGCTCTCATTTTACTATGCCATTGTATATAATGGGACTTGAGCATTCATGGATTTTGGTATCCATTGAGAGTCCTGGAACCAAACCGCACCAGTACCAAGGGCCCACTGTACAAAGACAAATATTGTGTACAAACATACAATACCTGGAACATCCTTAGTCTTATTTACTGGTTAGATTTATATGCCACTTTTCCTGGCAGCATACGTTTCTCTTCTTCCCCACTGCATCCTTAGATGGCCCTATAAGGTAGGTGATGTTCCCAATTGTGTGATGCTCCCAACTGATGGGACTCATGCTGGGATCTCCCCATGTTCTAGTTCTAGAATCTAGTCCAACACTTTAACTATTACAATATACTAAGCCAGGGGTAGGCAACCTAAGGCCCGGGGACTGGATGCGGCCCCCCGAGGCCTTTGGACCGGCCCCAGGCCGGTTCTGCCGCCGCCGCCTGCCATGATGATATTGATTATTGTTGTTATTACTTGTTCTTAGGGTTTTCTTGGCAAAATCTCCACAGGGGTTTTGCCATGGCTTTTCTGGGGCTGAGAGAGTGTGCATGCATATTTTTTTTAATTTTTAAAATTTTTTTAAAAAATTATTTTTATTTTTATTTATTTATTTATTTATTTTTGGTGCTTCGGCCCCCCCAATTGTCTGAGGGACAGCAACCCAGCTCCCGGCTCAAAAAGGTTGCCTACCCCTGCACTAAGCCCTAGTACAGAAAGTGTTGTTCCTGCAGATGCATGATAAATTTTTTTGCTGGAAATAGCAGAGTAACACATCTGTGTCAGACCTTATTTGCTGCGCAGTTACACAAATGCTAACATACTGTCCACTAAAATAACCACTGTAGCCTAAATACCTTGAAGGTGGCAGATTGTCTGATCTTTGAAGCTAAGCAGGATCAGGCTTGATTAACAGTACTTGGATGGGGGACTACCAAAGAATACCAGGCACTGTAGTCTATAGTTCAGAGGAAGGCCAGAGCAAAAACCACCTCTGAATACTCCTTGCCTAAGAAAACCCCAAGAAATTAATAGGGCCACCATAAGTCAACAGGCGACTTGAAGGTGTGCACACACATACACACTTTTTCACATATAGAAAGAGGAGATGCACACATGGACAGACAATGCTGCTCCCTGATGGAGAATATGGGGTATGCACATGAGAGGAAGGAAGGAAAGGGACCCACTAAAGCAGGGGTAGGCAACCTAAGGCCCGGGGGCCGGATGCGGCCCAGCAAGGCCTTTGGACCGGCCCCAAACCGGTCCTGCCGCCGCCGCCCCCCCCCCACCGCCGCCGCCCCCCATGATGATATTGATTATTGTTGTTATTACTTGTTCTTGGGGTTTTCTTGGCAAAATCTTCACAGGGGTTTTGCCATGGCTTTTCTGGGGCTGACAGAGTGTGCATGCATTTTTAAAAATTTTTAATTCTTTTTTTATTTTAATATTTATTTATTTATTTATTTATTTATTTATTTTTGGTGCTTCGGCCCGTCAATTGTCTGAGGGACAGCAACCCGGCCCCGGGCTCAAAAAGGTTGCCTACCCCTGCACTAAAGAATGTGGTGGCTATAAGAATAGCAAGCCCATAGAAATGTTAGCTGCCATTTGCAAGAGGAGGGGGCATCTTGCATTGACCTAGTTTTCTCTTGTGGAAAAGAAGGAGCATTTTCAAAGGAAGGAAGAAATAACAAGAGATAAGCAGTATAGATGAAATATATAGCCAGGCTCCAAGACTGTTTAAAAGAAACAACAACTAAAGGCACCTACTCCTGTTCCAGGTACAAAAATGAATTGGACTGGAGAGCTAGCCTGCATCCTTCAGGTGTGCTCCTACTGCTGCACACACCTGAAGACTTAGCTGAAGAGGCACAGGGCAAATATCTCTTTAATGCTCTGCTACTACCTCCAAGCACTGAGGAGGCCTGAGGCAGCTGCCTCGCTCTGTTTTATAGTAGGAGTACCTCCAAAACTGGGGAAATCTTACTTTTTTGAAATAAAATTTCTGCAAGCCCCACACAGAGATTGGGAAACACTTAGGGTGCATCTGCACTGTAGAAATAATGTAGTTTGACACCACTTTAACTGCCATGGCTCCATCCTACAGAATCCTGGGATTTGTAGTTTTGGAAGGCTTGTTCTTATTAACTGCCTTCAAGTTGATACTGGGTCATAGACTCCCTATCTTCTGCTACTCTGCTTAGGTCCTGCAAATTCATACCCATGACCTCTTTAATAAGAGTCCAGCCATCCAGCATGCTGTCTTCCTTACTTTCTATGTCCCTCCACCTTTGCTAACATTATTGTCTTGGCTTCCAGGAGGATTTCAGGATAGATCAAGTTGTGTGAGGCACCCGCACACTTTGGCAGAGAAGGCAAAAGATGTAGAAATACAAATCCCAAGATTCCATAGAATGCAGGTACAGCACTTAGAGTGGTGTCAGACTGCAGTGTAGATTCACCCTTAGGCTACAAATCCCAGAATTCTCCAGAACTAGCTGTGGTGGTTTGGGATTATTGCAATATTGTTCAAAAGTATTATTTCCCAGCATCTGGGGCTTATCCAACCAGGTTCATATGATAAGTAAGAATTGGCACAAGACATTTGGGTGTTTTGGAAAATCCAAAATTGGAAGATTCAAAAGAAATGCAACCATATCCTATCAACAATAAGACTGAGTAATAATAGAGCATCACACAACCCACAACCTGCCAGGAAAAAATATTCTCCTGGCTTTGCTGAAATACGTGAGGAAGGCACAAGTGTGTGTACTCTTTTCGTCTACATTTCCCGTTTATTTCCCTGAGGTGTCCAGAGGCCAGTTTCCTGGCGAGCAGTGCCCCATGGGTCAGATTTGGCTATCTCCCACCACTCCGCTCTCCTTAATGGCACCTAAAACCTAATGGCCAGCCCCATGCCTTTGAATGCAGTGTGTCATTAAAAGCAACATTGCCTCTGCAAGGCCTCTGCAAGGCCTAGGAGGATAAAATGTGGAGTTAGATTGGCAGCCATGATTTCTCAGTGACAGGGGTATAACACAGCGACAGGGGGTGCGGAGCATGTGGTCCTTTGGATGCTGCTGAATTGCAGCTTCCATCAGCCATGGCTGGTGGTGAGGAATGATGGGAGCTGCAGCCCAGAAATATTTTCTGTAACCCTTTTGTGTGGCAAACTTGT